TACATGCGGTGTAGCTTAGCTGAATCAATTCAGCCCTATAGTGTCAAGCAGGTATAGAATCCGTGATGTGTACTGAATATATTGAAGTGTTCTCTGTAACCCTCCAGGTTTTCTAAGGTAGGTATCATTAATTCCACTCCTCAGAGGAACAGACTTACTGTCGAAGAACTAATGAAATTTAAGTAGCTTCCACAGTGTACATCAGTGAGTGACAGGGTCAGAGCATCTAGTCAGATATAACCATAAAGCTTGCCCATGATTCCTTCCTCATGCCTGTACAGGTCTGGGGAATAGTTACTCATTTCAGACTGTCTTCAGAGGGCACTGTTGAGAGCTGCTTAGGTGTTTCTGCATTTATAATTCTCCATATTATAATATTGATGGCAGGACATATATATATATATATATACATATATATATATTTACACATATATGCATATATATATAATATAGTGCATAATATATAATAGGATACTTATAATATATAGTAGTGATAGGATAGTACTATGATTTTTTTAAGAAAGTTGCCCCACATCTCCATTTTTGAGTCTGGCTACATGATATATGTTAGCCACAATATTTTCTGAAATATCGCAAGTCTATCTTTTCCTGTATATGGCCCACTTAAAGGACAGAAGTAAATACATCCAGTCATCCTGATGAGATGGTAGGATGGGGGAAAGGCAACAGGTGAGATTCAACTATATAGGAAACTTGGCATTTAATGACGTCCATCCAGGCCGTGTTCACACACAGGGTCATTAAAAAGCATATCCTCCTTCATATGCACAGGACTTTTACCTGAGAAGACCCATTAGTGCTAATGGGTCATTTCCCTTCCATCTCTCCAAGGATCAAAAGGATACTCTGCATCTTTGATGAGGTGGTAATGGTACACAGGGCTGAGCCCACTTAAGTAGTTCCTTTGTTCTCTTCATATGGAAACCCACCGGGGGACTTTAAGACCTCTCTCTAGTATATGAAAAGTTTATAAAGACATCACTAAGTCATGGGGGAGGGGGTGCTAAGTGCAGCTTCAGTAATGAAAGTGAAAATGAGCCCCAGGGTTATAAATACAGACCCATTGACCTTGGAATATTTGAGGTTCATATCAAATCCGGCATTGCTTGATGTGGTATTTTCTGTTCTTTAGGGACATGGGGGGGGGGTCATGACTTCTCTTCTGCAGCCATCAAAAGACATCAGGCAAATAAGCTTACTAATTAGGAAATAGGATGTGTGGTAGGAAGAAGAAAGGGGAAGGAAGCTTTCCCTCTCTAGAATTACCTCTCTGTCATGCCTTACCATTTTCTTTCCTCTTCCCTCTCTAGAATTACCTCTCTGTCACACCTTACCATTTCCTTTCCTCTTAACTTTTTATTTCCCTATGTGACCTCTACCTATTGGGTGTCAAATAATATTTACTGGTTGTCGCCAATGCTTAGTTAATTGATAGATTTTTAAAACAAACACTGAACAACCTCCAGGAAGTTGGAATTTGAAAGAAGCATGGCTATCAAATATCTAACATGACTTGTAAAATTTTCAGTCTTAAGTTCTATAGCTAAATGCATTAGAGGCAGTGCTAAGTCCTGAACTGTTATCTAATACTTCACTTAGTCCTATACTGTTATCTAATACTATGTCTTTAGTCTCGAGAGAGAATTAAAGCACCACAAAGAATTTAGTTCAGGAAATGAGTGTAGGGAGCATATCTTGGATTGATATTAGACACATTGGACTCTCAGCCCATATTCTCTAATGTTCATGAAAGCAACTTTTCCCAGTTTTTTTCTAATCTACCTTGATTTCTATTTTGAGCTCCAATTCTTTGAGTTATTGAAGATGAAAACGAGAAATTCTGGTTTCCTTCCCTCCTTCTCTCAGGCAAGTCATTTCTAAATGACTTGACCATCAGAACTCCCACTGTACCAATCTTTTGGGAAGTTGATAGATAAAGGAGAAACCATTTAAATATTCCATGGTTCCCATCCAGTCACACACTGAACTGCTGTTCAGGAATTATGCCCTTGTGATGGGACCTACCCAGGTCAAACTTGGTCTGCTATTTCTAGGTCATCTGAAAATTGTTCCTTGTTCCCACAACACGGGGGAGAATGAAGAGTTCCATGAAGCAGTATAAACTCCCAGAAAGCTAATTCTATCATGAAAGTGTTCATCCACAAGTATCTTGCCTCTGGGTTCTCCTGAGGAAACATCCCCAATCTCCATTATTCTCCTAAATCTATCTGCAGTGTTGATACCCAACAGGGGTCAGATCTTAAATTAGAAAGTTGGGCTCTCCTTTTGATAATCACCAATAGCTAAGTTCACAGGGTTCCGTTTCTGTAACTCCTGTTTGCCTGACTGCAGTATAGGAAAGTTGTACTTCCATTATGTAAATCTCTGTATATTCATCACATTCCTAGAAGAATCTAGGTTTTGAAAATTCAAATGCAGAAAGCTAATTTTACATCTTTGATTTATGACTCATGTCCTTTCTGAGGCAACTAAAACACAATGGTTTTAAGTTTAAATGAGTGGAAAGACAACGGAGAGAACAGGAATATTGAGGCAAATAATCAAATAATATTACAAAAATAGTATCCTATGATGAACACCACACTATCCTTAAATATCAAGGGTGATTATTTATTCAGAAGATGGGGAGAAATACATTGAATACTTGATGCACTAATTATCAGACATCATTGGCTCACTATTGTAATGAAAACAGTTTTGTTTTTTTTTTTTTTTTTTTTTTTTTTTTGTTTGTTTGTTGGTTTGTTTTTTGGGTTTTCGAGACAGCTTTTCTCTGTGTAGCTTTGGAGCCTGTCCTGGAACTAGCTCTTGTAGACCAGGCTGGTCTTGAACTCACAGAGATCCTCCTGCATCTGCCTCCTGAGTGCTAGGATTAAAAGTGTGTGCTACCAACGCCCGGGTATGAAACCAGTTTTATTTGGTAGAGTGAGAGGCAGGATTTCTCAAATCTTATGGCTACACAAAATTGACAAAGCTAAATACTTTCATTTTCAATATTTTCATCAACACAATCCAGCAGTGTCAGATTTGGGGCTTTCTTTTACTCTGCTTACAATCTAGTAAGTTAGCTTATGATCACTTCATGGACACTCGTAGAGGACATGAACTATCTGACTTAAAGCCCAAGGACGTTGTTAGTCACACTACAAGAGAAATTCTGTGTACATAAGTTCTTGCTCTCAAGTCTCACAAAGATGACAGAGCAGCCCAGATGAGCATTAGGAATGCACAGATAGGCTTTTTGTTCTGGTAAAATTATACTGAGTGACAAGAATTTAGAATGATTAAGGTGAGAGAGATTTCATGGGGAGAAAAGTTAGAGAAGTAGCTGACATGGGTGTCAGTAGAACTTCCAGGCTGGAGCCACAGATTACAGATTTATGAAGTCACCCTCCTTATGCCATGTATTGACTTTATTAATTACATTTACTAAATGCCATCCAGTCACTGTGAGTAATCTGCACATAGCATAAAACAGGGATTCCTGTCGTGTTTTTAAAGTCACAGAAACCTAGGAGCCTGTGGACAGCAAAGCTAAGCAAAACATTCCATTTGAAACTGCAGGAGAAGCAGGAACACAAATTAATAACCTCTTTGAAAATCCCAAAGTAACATAGCACAGAGTTAAAAGTGGTGTTTTTAACTTAGCAGAAAAAGGTGTGAAGAATTACATAAGTCAGACTATAAAAGGATTGAGCCAGTGGAGAAGATACTCAAGCAAAAAGGGTCAGACAGAAAACTCCAACTGGTCAAAATACAGAGAACAAATGATTGTGGGATGCCTACTCCCAAATGATACATCTATAGCATGACTCTTACAGCTAAGGCTCAGGCAACACACAGAGGTGTGTGTGTGGTGGGGAGACAGAAGAGCCAGAGAACCAAGGAAGCTACTGTGAAATTGTGTCTGCTAAAAATGACAGGGAAGCTAATCCCATGATACCTCAACAGTATGGCTGCCTAAATAAGATTTGAAGAACTACAGCACAATAGCTGGGCTAATATGGAAGGCAGAAATCTCATGGGACACACAACCCATAGACAAAGAACTCTTGAAAACTAAAGTATACTGAGAGCAGGAGAGACAGTTTGCCCCAGGGATGAGTCCCTTCCTGATCCAGTGCTAAGTGTTCAGCCCTGAAATCATATACATAACAAATAAGACTAAATGAATGAAGAAACTGTATTTATATATTTAGAGGTGTGTGTGTGTGTGTGTGTGTGTGTGTGTGTGTGTGTGCGTGTGTTTAACTGTAACAACTAAAGAAAAACAGGCCACGATGTCAAGGGAGAGCAGTGGGATACGGAAGAGGGGTTGGAGGGAGGAATTGGAAAGGGGAAAGTTATGTAATTAAGTTTTAATTTCAAAGAATAAGAAAACAAAAAGCAAACAAACAAACAGTGTAGAATGTGACTTTAATCAATAGAGCCCTATAGCTTCTGGTTCACTAAAAGACCCAAAGCCTGAGGATAGGTTTATTTGATAATAATGCGTTCCCCACCTTTGTCTATTACATACTTTTACTCTGGCAAGGGTTCCCTGCATGTCACATCTTTGTTCCTCAAAGCAATGCAAGAATAGATTTTACTGTTCTCATTTTGGAAAATAGGCTTACTAATAGTTTGAGAAACTGTCTTAGAACACAGAGTTACCAAGCAACTAGGTTGGATTTCTGTAAGGGTATACTTAGCCCTGTGGCTAGGCTCTTTTCATTTGGTGGTACCTTAGTGAATCCATAGAGTGCTTTTGATAGTAGCATTTTAGAAAAAAATCTCAGGAGTGGATGTATTGTTCAAATGTTGCATTATCTTAGATTTTTAAGAAAATAGCAGGTCATACAATTACTTCATTGATTTAATTTAAAATAAACATCATCTCTTTTATTTTTCTCATCATACCATGTGTTCAAAATTGATAGTGGGATGCTTTTATGACAGTTAAATTGATCTTTCCACAGGTGACTTGTATATTGGAGGAGTGGCTAAAGAAACGTACAAATCCTTGCCAAAACTGGTCCACGCCAAGGAAGGCTTTCAAGGCTGCCTGGCATCTGTGGACTTAAATGGCCGGCTTCCAGATCTCATCTCGGATGCCCTTTTCTGCAATGGGCAAATTGAGAGAGGATGTGAAGGTACTACATCTCTGTTACTACACTGCACAATTCTGATATAACCAATGTATAAATTCAATTAGAAAAAAATCTCACTGGTCAGCAAAATATCTGCTAACTGGTAGTGTTTTCACTAAGAACTTAGAAATCCTTATTCATGTTTTAAATATTTTATTCCATAAATCTTAAGCTTCCTGCATTATTTGCAAGAATGCACTAACGTTTAACATAGACTAGAAGCTATAACTATGGATCTTGTCATATTCTTCTTAGAGGACTATAGTTGGGCTAACTAGCTTATTAATTATTTATGTAATGTTTGTATTATAACATCAGTTAACCAATTAAAATAGAAAAAATTTTTCCAGTAATTATAATATATTTTAACCCATTTTTTTCAAATTTTACATTCACTTGGATAAAAGATGATTGTAGGGCTCAGATACTCATTCTGAAACCACTATTTGATTTGTGTGTGTGTCAAAAATAGGTTTCTTGTATTATTCAGGGTTAATGTGCAATGCTTCAGAAATGCACTGGACTGTCTTACATTCTTTCATGCCTTCTGTCAGATCAGGATCTACAGGAATATGTTTTGATTGCTACTTTCATTTTAGGTAATTTCTCACTTCAACACCTCAGAGTTTTTGAGCCAATTCTGCCTCTATAAACGTAATTCCTTCACATTATCATGAACTGTATGGCTCTGGATGTGTTACCGTTACTGTTTCTCCTTTAAAGTTCAACATAGTTTGATTCATCTTGAAAATTTAGATTTATAAGAAACTTTGTATGAGATAAAAGGACGATGCAAATGTGATTCCTATCCTTTAGGAGATTATGAATCACTTCTCCTCAGCCAGAATAATGTCATTATATTTAGCAATTACCTAAATCTATGGAACTTTTTAATTTGAAATCACGTTTTCCCATTTTTGAAGCATCAGTTTGTTTGGAAAGTTAACTTAAATTCAAACTTTTGAGAGAGTAGGAGTATTAATTGAAGACTTTTTTGAATTCGCTTTTAATGTTATCACCTTATTTATGTATTTACTTGAAAATTGTACATAACACTTCTCATGAGGTTTCTCACACTGCTTATTTAGTAAAGGAAACACAACTGTTAAGCAAATACATTTTCCCTAATAGGGGACTACAAAATGCGAGATATGATTTTGTTCCTTAGAAATGGTTTAATACGTGAAAGTAGGTCACTTATTTCTATCTTAAGGGAAAGGTACTGCAGTTCTAGATACTACTTTTCAGAAGTAAGCCTTGCTACAGATTGTATGGCAAGTGCTTCCTGAAAGAGACATTGGTGCCTCAGTTATGGCCAGACAGGAAGAAGATACAAGGACATAGGACCTCCCTGTAAACATCTGGTTAGTGGAGGGTGGAGGGAAGCTTAATGGGAGAAAGATTGCAAACCAAACATTTGCAGTAATTAACACTTGCTGTTATTTTCCAACCTAATCTAGTAGGCATTTTGTCGATGATACTTGTTATAGGTTTTCCTTCTCCGGCCTTACATGAGCTCTGAATATTTGATCTCACTGTGGTATCTTATGGCCTAGTTCTGCCCAGGCATAACAATTCTCACCTCTTCTCATGTCTTTTTTTTTCTTTGTGACTATCATCACATTCTGGTCATTCTGACATCATCTCCCCTGATGATTTCATTCCCAAATTTAATTTGACCATTTCTATCCTGACTTATCCTAATGATAAGCTCAGATAAACTTGTCACAGGCATAATTGATGAGATACATGTAGCTTTAGGGTTAGCAATTAAATTATACATACCCAATGTATTATCTCTTCTAAGACAGTTGTCTCATGGAATTTTGCTTCTACTCAGATAAGAATCTTTTAAATTCTGTATTAATAGAAATGGTATGCCTTTGACATCTCCAAATAATAGCTTGTCACGGGTTTCCATCATTCTTATCCAACAAGACTGGCCAAACTTCAAGTTCCTGGCCTTCAAAGGGTTCTTGATCTTCCCACAGTAATTGCTTGTTACATTGAATATCCTGCTTATTTTAATGGACATTGGCTGACTCATATGTAAACACTTCTCAGCTAGAGAAGAAACCTATCTTCAGTTCCATATTTAGACTGATATTTCTCAAGTGTCAGCCTACATTGAACTGACTTGAAAAATTATTAAAACCCCAATTGCCAGATATCAACACCAGGACTTGTGACTCAGGAGGTCTGGCATGGGACCTTGGAATTTACAGTTCTAACAAATTTCCAGGTAGTGCCTATGCTACATGTCCTGCATGTTGAAAATTGCTTCACCAGATGTTGTTTTTTCCAAATATAACAGGAAATTGAGACTGATGGTAAACCCAGAAAGTAAGCTGATTAAACTTCAGATAACTTCTCAACCAAGTTTCAGTGACATTTTGATATTCCTTCTGAAGACACTTCCACTCTGTCATGGATTGCTTTGTGAGCAGCAACAGTGCTTTGCTGTCTGATTAGAATGGCTGTCACTCATTAAACAATAGTGGTTGTCAATTTATATGTACCCTCTAACCCTCAAACCACTATAAACACTCATGACTGTTCTTTTTCCCAGATGGGTAAACTGAGTCTCAGATAAAACATTTATAAGGTTAGGAATGTGGATGACAGAGGTTTCAAACTACAGCTTCCTTTACTTGGTAGGGCAGGCTTCTAAACCAGCTTCCCTCTATTGTACCTTAGGTCTACAGAAAGTGTGGTTTGACTTTCATTTTCTTCCCTTTCCAGACATACCCTTTAAAAACATTCAGTTAGTACAAATGTCACTTGGCTTGTTCCCAATTTCAGTCAGTGACAAAATAAAATAATAAGAAATGTTATGTAACTAGAGGGGAAATAAATCAAGACTTTGACTTATGCAAATATCTATCAGTACTTAAGCATAATTCTAGAAGGTGAGTGCTTCCAAAAAATGTATCTTCTCAGGCATAGGGACACATTCACATGTAATGCCTGAAATATAAAAAGACAGGCATTGATGAGAAATTAGAAAAACAAACCATGTTTTTGTGTTTTCATAGACAGCTAGCAGCTCTCTGTGTTTAGCCAGATTCATTTTAAGACCACAGTGTTAGTACATTTAGAGTTTAGCATCGGTGAGTGATTGCCAGACTGATGATTTGCTTCAAAGTAGGGGCACTTATGGCCCTCAGTTCTTGATCCTACTTTTTCTGCCACCGGGCAGAAAGTAAACAACTGTTTGATAAAATAACCTCAATAAAATAATACAGGACTACTCTATACCTGATTCTTCTCATCTGTGGAAGAAAAGGCCAATGAAGATTGTTTCAAGAGATTTTTAGTGTTAATTTTTAAATTGACACTGGTTTTAGTCTCTTACACTATGGGCTGTTACTCAGGAGACCACAACAAATGCTGAACAAATTAGTAATTCATGCTTAAGTTGAAAAACTTTACATCTATTCAGTTCTTCTGGTAGATTACTTTTATTTCCAGCATTACTTACAATGCTATTAGTGTTTTGATTATTATTTGGTGTTCTAATTATTATTATGTTTGGGGGATTTATAGTATTCCTAGCATTACTAGTATAGATCCTGAAATTCTAAAAATGCATGTAAGTCCAGCTTACTTTAGTAATTTCCTGTCAATACTGCCTTTACTCAGAAAATTATCATACAATTATGTTTCCACAGTACATATTAAACTTTATAAGTCAGTGTCGTATAATTACAGAAAAATTGTTTATTCACTGAAGCAATGTCTCAATGGCCATCAGTAGCATTGAATTACTTTGGAGTCTATTTTTACATTTTTTTTTTAGAAAAGATGTAATTATTATTGCCAGAAATGATCCCTAGATTATTGTCTATAGCTTTTATGATTTCTATGCACTGTGTTTCCTTTTTACCATTTTGTAAATTCTTTTTTCTGTAGTAATTATTCACATGGAAGTTTATTAGAACTAAGGACAGTTATGAAGTTATAGGCAACACCAAGAACACTCTGGAATCTATAAATCTTATATACCCAGTTCTTTAAGAGTGAGAATGAGGGGACTGGAGAGATGGCTCAGAGGTTAAGAGCACTGGCTGCTCTTCCAGAGGCCCTGAGTTCAATTCCCCTTTACAACCATCTGTAATGAGATCTGGTGCCCTCTTCTGGCCTGCAGTAATACATGCAGGCAGAACACTGCATACATAATAAATAAATCTTAAAGAGTGAGGATGAGTATGACATCCTGGGATATTATAAAGGACTGTTCTCTAAGGAGAATTATACTGCTGGTTCTTTCTACCATCTTCATGACTTTCTCAACTCCTTCAAATGGCATACATCACGGTATAGTTATAAATGGAAGTCTTCACAAGTTAAAAGAGAGAAGCACACGCAGAGGTACTTTCTCTGTAGAGACCATAGTCTACTATATGAATCATAGTCTACACATGAAACAGCACACTGCATGATCCAATAAGCCGGTTGCTAAAGGAACCCATCTAGTGCTGTACAGCAGAGTAGGAATCAAGAGCCCTTTAAGTTTTCCTTCATTGTGTCATTGGCTAGATTAACCATTGTATATGCACACATATAGTATAAACTTAGAAAAATTGTACTGCTTTCTCATTATTTGGCTTCTCTTAAGATTTATGGCTGTTGATATTAATTTGCTGTACATAGCATTTTTTCCCTTTACAGCAGCATGCTTTTTTTGAATCTGAACATTCTGTTTGCCCCATTTCCATATTGCTTACTAACATTTAATATATTTTGCTTTTTTTTTAATTTCGCTGACAAAGTTGCATTGACGAAAGCTGACTTGCAAGGTAGATAGCCCTGTGTGTATAAAACAAGACTGAAACCCCACCCTACACAGCGGAAACCCTCAAATAACATTTTTTTTTTTTACATTTTCAGTAACTTTTATTTGGATTTAGATTTAATTTCCCCCCTTTTAGACGTTGTTTTGGACGTTGTGCAAGAAACCTCGTTTTGTAGCATAGTTTCATAAGGCTTTCAGTCTTGGCCATGTTTGTACAGTCGCTGCCTTTATTGATCCCATCATATTTTTCTGTTCTTTGTTATTCGGTGTTGTAGTTATAATTTCTTAGAAACAGAGTAGCATTGCTTTTCCTTGTGTGTTCAGCAGGGGCATGCCATTACATTGTTTTCACTTTATGTTAACTGCATGATATTGTCAAAGCATGTGAACTGATACTTGCCAACATACCTATCCAGATCACCGAATAATCATGACCCTAGCCAGAGTGTATTCGTGGAAGCAGCTGGATCTCATAGGTCACTTTTCCATAAATCTGCTTGATTATTTTGCCAGTCTTTATCTCAGTTTCATGATCTTACAATATCCATTCGTCATGGCATCTCTATTCATTGTTAAGAAGTTAAGGAGATCCATTCATTTTCTAATATCCAAATGGCGACAGACAGACAATCATTAATGATAGAATGAGATTACCTGCTACCACCATGACCATCTTAGAAGCTACATACTTCCTTTTACTATTTTTTGGCTTAGGTACGATTATGATGTATTTGTCTTGTACTTGAAGCTTAAGAAGGCCTTCAGGTTAAATGTCTCAGTTACCAGTTCAGGTGCGTGAACTTTCCAATGTAGCTTGGACATGTAATTTAAGGTGTTGGCAACTACTATATGTGATCTAGCTCGTGTAAAGAACGTTCTGGATTTTTTAAAAGAACCCAAGTTTCTTTTGGCATGTTTTGCAGGTCCCAGCACAACCTGCCAAGAAGACTCATGTTCAAATCAAGGAGTATGCTTGCAACAATGGGATGGCTTCAGCTGTGACTGTAGCATGACTTCCTTCAGTGGGCCACTGTGCAATGACCGTAAGTACCTGTGCACGCGTGGAAAGACACTTGTCACTACTTCTATCTGCTGCTTTCTGTGCAATGTCTAAGATTATAAAACTATAAATCCTTACATCATCTGTAATAGGACTATCATATACGTGGGCCTCCGTTTGTTTTTTTGTTTTTTTGGAATTTTTTTTCACACACACACACACACACACACACACACACAAAGCAAGCCCATTTTAAAGTGACATTTGTTTTCAGGGCTGTAAATAGCTTAGTGTTTTAATAGTAGTGGTTGATTTTCAACTGTTGTAAATTTTCTTCTATTGTTTACTTATAGCCACCTTATTGGAAAGAATGTTGTTAATTTTCTATATTTGGGATTCTTCCCCCATTTTGAAAACCTTGTAATGCTTTGTTCTATGCAGTTTTTAAGTTTGTCAGGTCATATCTTGAGGGCCTTAGTTTCTTTTCGTGGTTAGACATTTCAGTTCTCTATCTTTCTGCCTCTCCTTGAGAAAGTCTGCTCTTCCCCACTCACTTCAAAAACACTATGTTTAATGATTTTTTTCATACGTCTTTCTTGTTTTTATACACCTGAATTCTTCACTTTCATCTCACAATGTGAGCATGGCAGGGCAGATGTACCTCACATTCTATCACAGCCCTCTCCCAGGGTCAGTATCAGAGCAGTGAAAGTTTTGAGGCAGAATTAGCTGACCAGCAGAAGTCTTCTTCCTGAACTTTCAGATAGGTCTTGCTTCATAGGACTTCATCAAAATGATATAAAAAAATCTTCTATTGTAGATACAGGGTATTCACCATGAAGCCCCGCATTTGGCAAGTAGACTATCTGCCTTGTGTGGTAAATGCTACAGCATGAAAAGCAAAGATCTAGTAGAATTGAGAAAGGGATATGATAGTTGAAGGTTTGAGCTGTACAAAGAAGCTAAATTTGATTTTTGATTTAAGGGGAGCTTTGAATTTTGGTTTTTTATTGTTCTTGGTGTTTAATCCTTGTCAGCAGATATATGGATCACAATATTAAAAGTAGGATCAAACTAAAATAAGTCATGGAGTTGAATGATTGCAAACTACAACTACAGTACAGTTCACAGGCTATCTTTGGTTCCTGCCCAACATATTGACTATGGAAAGCACTAGCAAAAGATAAAAGAGATTATTGGAAATGAATGGTGCACAAGGGAAGGGGGGTATCACGTATCTTCCGTGTATAACCTCAGACAGGTTACCTGTAGAAAGGACACCTTTGAAAAGAAATAGGGTTTCAGCAGGAGAAGAAGAGTGGTAATACAGGACAACGGGTGTGGGAAAAATAATGTAAAAAAGCAACAGTCCTTTAAAAAGTCCTACACCTATGTGTATATGAATTGAGCTAATATGGTTAATAATAGTAAGACATAAGAATAAGAGTGAGATGGGTTAGAGGTCCTGGAGGCAGTTGGTTGAAATTAGTGAGGGGTGGATATGACAAAACTATATTGAAATTTTCCATTAATAGAAGAAAAATATTTTGAAAGCTGCCACCATGAATGCAGAAACCTCTGATATCTGCTTTTATGGGATCATCTTCCCTATATATAGTAGCTTGAAGCAGTAAAAAAACATTCAGACCATCACCATTTGCATACACTGTGTATCTGCACATCAAATCACACTTAAGAACAACAGTCCCTCATGCATTATATAAATAACCTCATACAGTCAGTGCACACTTATATATACAAAAAGCATAAACAAAGATTTTTAAAGAACTCCCACAAATGCTTGACTAGCTGTGTACTTATCTATAGACCAATGTCTGCCTGCCTTTGTTCCCATTTCAAAATGACATAAACCTCTTTTCAAGGACAACCAGAAGACCGAGAATTTGTTATTATTTTATGACTGCAAATTCTAATGCTGAATTCAATCTTAACAGATGCATGACTACATGTGGTAGTTGAGAGGGCTTTTGAGTATGAAAATATTTTTCATTTTGCTCAAGACTATCCTCTGCCAAACTCTGCTAAGCCATTTCCCATGTTTTACAAAACAGTTGCCATTTGGTTGTGTCAGACTGTCCGTCCCGTACACCAGTTAAATATGAAGAATGCAATTTTCTGTATGTGTTTGTTAGGCTTCTCCTAAGGAACATCAAAATCTGACCTTATGTAATAGGCTGTCTTCAAATCAGTTTTTGCAGAAAACTATTTAAATGATGGTCTTGGGTGATGGTTGTGGGGGCAGCAATGATAAGGCTAGTTGTTATTTTCTTGTAAATGGGTAAATGTCACTCAACAAATGTGTCTCCTGACATGCCTCTTGCCCAAATCAGCACTAAATTATGTTTGAGAGCTCTCAGAATACAGGCATTTTGATTAAATCATTATCTCATACTAGGTTTAATGGAAATGCTAAGTGTCCCCATGGTTTGAGCATTCGTGTTTTCCTGTGATGAGATTTGTAGATAAAGAGTACTATTTAGAGGTACATCATATTTGAAAACAGTTGTAATTTACATAAAACAATAGTGATTATTACTTTGAAATCCTTAAGGTTAAAGATGAGAACTGAGGCATCTCAACACATCTCCTGCCCCATTACATAGATCTTGTCTCCTCATCTCACTGTTGTTTTGTTTTTCTACAAGAAACACAAATTGTAATAATGTGATTTCTTGGATTTTAGCAAACACCCTTTCCTCTACTGAGGTTGACTTTAAAATAAAAAAGGAACAAGCAAACAAGAAACTTAGAACCACTTCATGCTGTTTCATCCCTGTCTTGGTTAATAATACATGAATTATGTGGCTATAGCCCCCAAATCATAACAAAATAAAGAAAGTAAAAAAGACACAAACATTTCAATATAAAAAAAATACTGTTTATGGAAAGAACAACCCATCCCCCCAGTAGAAATTCCAAGTGCCATATATCTGGTACAGTTTATAGAGTGGGTTTGAGTAACTAGACATTTTTATTTATATTAGCCTGGAGATATAATTACCAGTGGGATGATGGGAATACTTTATAACTTGCAAGTAAAATCTTGGATAAATCATACTAATTAATTGAATTGAAAGGGATCTTTCAAAAACACTGTCATCTTTGTAAAGTGATGCCAGAGGCTATTTTTAAAAATTGTTGCTTTTTTTTATATATGTATATACACACCCCTTCATCCTTGGAGAAATACCATTCTAGAGATGAACTCATTAGCAAAACAATTGTAGGCTGTGGCTGGGTATGGTGTCATGCATTTTACTCTTCTATACAACATCAAATTCCAGGTTCTTGAACTATTTTGTGTGAGTGTGTGGCTTATTATAGTAATGTTTTCATTGTTGCTCACTTCCCAGCCCTCCCTCTTCCAATAAATTTTTGTTCCTCTCCTACTTTTATTCTTCCTGATTTAAATGTCACCAACACCTCTTGGTTGATTCTTCCAATTGGAAGCAGTTTCTTTAACCCTCTGAATTCCTATAGGTTTCTGTGATATTTTATTAGCCATTACTCTCTATCATGTAGTTTATGTTTGTCTTATCTCTATAAAAGGGCATATGTTATTCTCCCAGGAATATTATTATTTTGTATTTTTAAATTTCCTGTATGTTTGATCATATATCTGAGCCATTTTTATTGTACACCATGTTGTAGACAATAGTAATATCAGGAACTTACTTACACAAAGGTAAGTGAATATATGAAGCTTGCAAAATGGTTTCTAGTGTGTCTACAGTAGCCAGCACTACTCTAGACTTATTAGTATGGAATTAACAAAACTTCTCGTTCTGACCATAGCCTTCATTTCCACACTTAGATATTGCAGAAAAGTCTCCATATGGTGTGTTACTGCCAGTTTCCTTACTCATGGCATTCTCCACATTGCTTTTTTCCAACTTCCTTGCCATTTTGCACGCTAATTTCTCCACCTGCTAATGTTCTCAACCCACCTGAAATGCATCCCTCACACTTTATCTTTCTGAAGAAATGTAGTTTCATGTTTGATCTCCATTTCAACTGTTTCATGCTATGGCAAAGTATTTGTTGCCTTGGACTGGGCACTACCATTTCTTTGTTTGAAATATGCAGTAACAGTGTCTTGCAATGCCTCACATTATTTTAAGTAGCAGACCTCTGTCAACTTTCTCTTTATTTATCAGGTGTTCAGGATGTTCGAAGCCTGTGTTAGGAGTTTTCATTCATTTTGAAACATCTATTTACTGCCTATTTACATGGTCATGTGTGCTCTCACCTTCATGAAGCCAGTATGCTTACACCCTGTGGTACAGATTAGAATATCAGCTAATTTAATGTCAGGTTGGAGAAGATGAATGTGGCTATGGTCACACAGAAAAAGCAAACATAATAACGTTGTCACATTACATTAGTATGGAAGTGTAGTGTACCAAATTACAGTTCAGCTTCAAGCATGTCTTTTCCCATAAGGGAGTAATACATCACACTGCAGTTTGGTGCTATGGCTGTAGGAAGGTGTGAGCTCAGACATTAAAAGACTATTTTCAAAATTCTAAACTTTGCCAAAGGAAAGATATTGTGGACAGGGATTTGGTGTATCCTTTGTGTTTGAATTACAAATATTCACTGAAACAAGGTTGAAATATATTTGACTGAGTCCTTTTACTGTGACATTTAGAAATATCATAAGCTTTGTTTCTTATTTCTTTGCGTTGTTTGAAAAGAGAATCCAATATCTAATGTCTGAGCCTCTAGGTCTGAACTAGTGGAAATGAATCCTCACATACATAGAAATAACTTAGACCTAAGACAAAACCTCTCCCACTTAGGATGTTAATGTAAGGGAGGTGTGGGATATTTGCTATTATTTAGGGCTGAATAATATTTCTCAATTAGCTATGTCTACAGTCAGATCCTCATTGTGAATGTGGGGAGTCTCCTTAACCTGTAGTCAACCATGCATTTCTAAGTGTTGCCCTTAAGCTATTTAAAACAAGTCAAAAAGTAAGATATATGGATAACACTTGGATAACTTAGATTGCTATAGAG